TATATATATGTACATATGTATGTATGTACATATATTACATGCATAGGTTATTACAGCTTAGCATGAGTAAGGAAATATGATGTGCATATACAGGAGAAAGGGTTATATAAAACATCTTGTTTGAACAGTAAATCGTATACACTTAAAAACACACAATAAGAGAACTTTATCTGAATGTAATATAGATATAAGCAACTACTTCAATACTGTTTAAGATTTAGATGGTTTTTAATTATGGTAATAATAAAATAGTAATATTACTATTACAATACAATACAATAACAAATCTATAAAATTTGCATTAGTCAGTAACCAAAGTCAAATAAGATTATAATACACATTTTTAGTATGGTTACGTCAACTTGAAAATGAGCTAATTATAATTTTTAACATATAAATTATCTGCTGTACAAGGAAATGTCTAGACTGTAGAGAGGTCAGGCCTTTGAACTTGAATCACAAAGGAACTGACTGCACTTCTAACATCCGTTTTGACACATAAGACGCAATGACAAAACAACCTTCTGAGGTGTTGAGAGATTTCTTTCATTTTCAGTCCATATACAATTGGATTAAAGAGAGGATGATACAAAACCACTTGTAAAGTCATTATGAAACGTATAGTTTGAGATAAATTAATTTCCAGTCGAGCTATAATTATATCATACGAACATAAACATGTGAAGCTGATCAAAACGAGCAGGTGAGGTAAACAAGTCTGTGCAGCTTTTTTCCTGACCTCTCTGCAGCTTCGATAGCATATTATAAATATTTTTGTGTATGTAAACATTATGAAAAGCAAAGGAAGAAATACAGTGTTAAATAGAATAAACACACCATACATTAAGTAGGATGTTTTTGGGGTAGCACAATAAAGCTTGGAAATCGCATTATTACAAAAAATTCCATTCAAAGTAAAATTGCAGATTTGTGAGTTGTTGCTGAATACAGCTGATGGCACAAGCTGACAAGCAGGCAGAAGCCAAGCTAAAACCAACAAAACTGTGACAGTTGCTTTTCTCATAATAGTATGATATTGCAAAGGTTGAGATATGGACACATACCTGTCATAGGCCATGGATGCCAAGAGAAAGAACTCTGAACCAGTTAAAGAGTAATAAATAATTCCTTGAAACCTGCATAGTGAGTGAGTTGTAATCTGCTTCTCAGATAAAAAGTCCATTAATAGTTTGGGGTAGATATTTGTACTGAACACAACAGAGTTGAGCAACAAAGCTGCAATGAAAACATACATAGGCTCATGGAGGCTTTTCTTAATCCAGATGAGGCAAACTATGGTTGAATTACTGCAGAGTATTAGAATATAAGCAGTAAACATGATAACAAAATACAGAAATTTGTATTTTTCCAATTCAATGTGCCCACCAAGAGTTATATATGTCACATTAAATTCATCATGCATTCGCTCCATGAAACTAAATGTCAAATAAAGCAAACTAAATAAAAAAGTCAAAATGTCACCTCCTAAAAAAAGAGCCAGTGAAAACCTTTTACGACTTCAACAATTGAGATCGTTATATTTTACATTTGACTAACTTCAATCATTCAGTGATAGAATTAAAAATGCAACAGTCAGACTGTACAACAGGGAGAACAAATTAGATTAAATCAGCATTTCATACAAATGTAAGATACCAGACTATGAGAACCACTGTTGTTTCAGGACTGAGAAAGTGAATTATTACAGTAGGTGGAACGACCTTATGATTTCTTATTTTCCTCTGTGGATCTCATTACATCAACTGAGCTACTAGCTCGTGTGACCATTTCCATGCAACCCTAGAGGCCATAACCCAAATGCCTTGTTAGTACAAATGTTCTCTCAACATTTTACTTTCTTAATTGGCCTAGCATTTGCATCTATTAGAGCTTCAACTCTTGTAGGTTTTCCACAAGTGTTTATGGGAATTATTTGCCCTTCATGCAGAAGCCCATTGTTGAGGTCAGACACTAATGTTGGACAAGAAGGCCTGGCTTGCAGAAATGGCAAATTTGGATAGGATAAAATTGTCCAAATGTCTTAGTATTCTGAAAAAGTAAGAGTTGTTTGTGTTTGCTGAAAACCTGCAAAGTATTACAGAATTTTTTTCTTCACAATGGAGTCACAATACTTTTAGTAATATTATTTTAATAAATACGTCTTTCTATATCTAACAGGTTAGAATGCACACAATATGTGGATTTATATGGTGGACATATTTGGAATAAATCAGCTATTCTCTGGATAAATTCCATGACCTCCTGAATTTATGAACATTATGCTATGTTTCTGTTCTGTGTGCTTTGTAAATTCACATTTTTTTCTTGCAATTGTACTACTATTCTTTCATATACTGTACATAGTAAGATATAATACAAAGCGATATTTATAATTATGTTTATATTCATACTTTTTTCTTTGTCTTTATGTTATTTTTAATAGTTGTGCTTTATTAGGCTGTTTTTATAATATTTTATTTTGGCCTCACACTACCTGCTCTATTTCATACTTCTGGCCCTTTTGTTTTTCTATTTTGGAAGCACTTGTGGTTACACTTCCCTTCTGTGTTTTATTTATCTTTCAGTTCTTAACAATACAATTCTTGACCCCTGACTTTTGTTTTTGTTCTTCATGTAATTAAGTATTAAGAACAGGCACAGTGTTATGGTCCGGGGTCACTGATCCAGCGTTTTGAATTTATTGTTATTACTTTTTGGTTTCTTCTGATTTTGTATTAGTTCCTAGGGTTTGGTTCTTGTGTTTTATTATTTCTACCTGTGTCTCCCCCCTTTGCTCTGTGTTAGGATGCCTGGGTTGTTGACCCAGGGTTTTGAGTTTATTATATTATTTATCATTTCTAGTCGTTGGTTTCTTTGTTAGAGTTCTGTCTTATGGTTTATGTCTCTGTGTTCTCTAGTTGCTCTGTCTCCCCTGTCAGCTGTATCCCCTTGTCAAGTTCGCGTCTCTGTGTTATGTTTCCTGTTTTACTTTGAAAGTCCGTGTCTCATGTAAATATGTCTGGTTTTGCTTTCTTTGTCTCGTTAGGCCTGATTTTCCCCAGCTGTGTTTCCCTCCTGTTACCCATTCCCTGATTGCTCCCTCTGTGTATTTAAGCCCTGTGTTTCTCTGTGTCCATGTCGCGATCTACTCTTATCTACCCTCACTCATGCTGTGTGTTTTGTTTTCCTGCCTGCGTTAATGTTTGTACTTTGGAAGTTTGTTACTTTGAGTTCAGCGTTAAAGCTGTTTTTTGAGTTCACGTCTGTCTCCCGAGTCTGCACTTTGGGTCCTTTTCCTGCCTGCACACAGCCGTTTCATAACAGAAGATCACGACCAGAACATGGACCCAGCAGATTCCGTGTGGTATCGGCGACCCGCAGTTTCTGCCTTCCTCAAGGAGAACGTGAGTCACAGGGCTAAGCATGCCCGGGAGCTCCAGTCACCCTTCTATGGGTCACGTTTGGCTTGGGGAGGCCTCTGCAGCCTCCAAACTGCCATGGCTACGGCTGAGCCGGCGCCTATGCCTAGGACGATCAGAGTGAGCACGTGCTCATTCTCTCCGGTCGCTACACCTCCGCCTCCACCCCCGGATTACCAGTTCAACAAGAGGCTGAAGCAGCGGAGGAAGAAGGATTATGCAACGGCAGACATTGGACTTACTCCGCTACAGTCTTTTGCTCTCTTTATGGGACTGCAGCGTTCTGAGCTTCATAAACTCTCTGATTCCTCATCGCAGCCCGGTCTGTTGGAGGATCTGCAGCCCACTTCCCCCCCACTTCCCGGAGGAGGCGGCGCTCACACCGTCACCACTCTTTCTCTGCGTAGCAACTCCCAGTGGTGAGTTATAATGACTGCTGTCAAGGCCTTTTACGTTCCAAACACCAAAAAAGAAAGGTTCAAGAAAAGGCCGTGGGTGGCAACGGGAGGTTTGTTTTTGAACGCACTTTGATTCCATTGTCTTAAATCATATGTCGTTTATTTCGTTCAAAGTTATGAAGTTTCGTTCCTCTGAGCTGGAAAAAGACAATCATATGAACACTGCTAAAACTGAGACTGTTAAGAATGTGGTGGTGGTAGGAAGCTAAAAAACATTTTAGAGGAGTCTGTGTTTCCTGAGCCTGCTCCTTCGCCCCATTGTGTTCTTGCTCCCAGGACAGCTCGGGCCCAGCATTCCCCTGCACCTGTTTCAGTGCTTCAGGTGAGGGAGGCTGAGGTCCAGCCAGGTTTAGCCTTCTGTCTCCACTGGAGGGCCCGAGGAGTCTGTCCAGCCACCTTTTCCTGCTGGAGAGTCCGAGGGGCCCGTCCGGCCTTTGTCTGTTGTTCCTGCTGGGGGTTCTGGAGAACTGCTCCAGCCGTCTCCCGGCCCGAGGGGCCCGTTCAGCCTTCTGTCTCCGCTAGAGGGCCCAGGGGCCCGTTCAGCCTTCTGTCTCTGCTGGAGGGTCTGAG